GGGGGGGGGGGGGGCTGCTTTGAAGGTTGACCGTGACGGAACCTCGATGCCAATTTCCTTTCGCCTCGGCGTCGAGACAATGTGTTGCATCGGATGTTATGCAACCTCCCTTTTTTTAATGCCCTACTTTGCATCAGATTTCTTTTTTTTTTTTGGGTCGGGGGGATGATTTCTTTCCAAAGGCATCCTGTCGCCGTGACACGTCAGTGAAAAAAGGCATTCCGTGTGTTTGGCCAGCGTGGGATTTGGACGCGTGCGACCCGTGCGAGCTCAAATTTCAACCCGGGAAGCTTCCAAGTGTGCCTCCGCTGCCGCGATTGAAAAAAAAAAAAGGCGGGACGGCGCCACCGCCTCGGAGGCCGGCTTCATGTGAAATTTCACACCCTTGCGGATGGGGAGCGCGGCGGCCAAAGGGTCCCGACCCGCCGTCTTGTCGACACCTACCAAAGGCGGGCGCAACCCGAGAAGCTCGGCTCGGTGGAGCGCTGCGGTGCAGCTTGCGTGACGCGTCTCGCCGTCTGCTTCTGTTGCGACCCGAAGCGCGCGTCGGGTTGAATCTTTATGCCGGAACGCAGCAGCAAAGGCGCACTTTAAAACACTCGATACTTTGGCTTTGAAAAGGCTTCGGGGAGCAGAAGTATGGAAAAGACATTCTTTTCCAAATTCCCACATGCCGTAAACAACATGAAACGTATTTCAAGCTGGCCTGTGGCGGCGGCGCGCGCCACCGCACTTGAAGGCCTTTTGCCTTTTATTTGCGTTTTCAAAAGTCGCCCTTCGTTTCCCCCCCCCAAAAAAATTCGAAACACGAACCCCGTAAGTCAGGTGTGATTGCACAGCCTTCACTCGTGCGAGTTGTCTTCTTCCTCTTCGTGGCAGGTGACCATGCGGCGTTGGTGGCTGGGCCTTCTGGTGGCCTTGGTTTCAACGGCAACCCCAACCCTCTGCCAAAGCGGGGACGGCGAGCACGGCTCGGGCTTCGGCCCCGACGCGCCGGCGCGGTCCGACGCCGCCTCGGGGGAGGAGACGTGCGCGGTCCGCTTC